CAGTGGCGGGGCTCGAACCTCGGACCACAGGGTCCAAAGCACGTCGGTGACAGCGACTAAACCACTGCGCTACCACCACCCGTTGCAGTGACAGGGGCTACCCTGTCACGAAACCTACTGTTTTCGTAGTGCAATCCGCAAACAACACCAGTAGGAAACTAAAAATATCCAGTTTTGTGAAAGGGGAGAGCACGTGAAACAGAGTCCGCGACGGTTAACAATCTAAGAGACATTCAAAGCTTACCTAGTCTATAGTTCGGTGTTTCGGTTTATTCAGTCATCGGTCTTGCTCTTTTGTGTGGGTCTTTGAGCGCATCGAAAAAGGTTTGAGCATGACTCGTGATGCCAGTTTAAGACTGTGTTGTTGAAACAATGGGACAAAGTGTTAGAATAGAACAAGGGATTTATGCGCTTTGTGAGTGGGAACAGGTGTGAAGTATCTTCAGATATCACGAAAAGAATGCGTTTCGAAAAACACATTAAAGGCATCTTCCAGATCAATAGTACTATTGATGATCGTTGTTTTTACCAGTTTATTACTGCATTCTGTCGCACAAAACCTTTTTCCACACAGTGTTGAAACATTCCTGAATTGAAGACACGAGAGCGTCGATAAAGTGAATGGATCAATCAGATTTCAATATTCTGCTCCTGATCTTGGTTTCCACCGGTCCAGTAATACAGGACACTGGTTTCTTTCAACTTCGATTTTTTCTGAAGGACTCACATGTCATTTATGGTGGGAACACTTTCGAATTGGACACTCCCTTAGTGTAGAATGTGGTAGATTTTGTGTGCGCGTGTGTGGAATTCAGTTGGTGGTGGTGCAGATGGAAGAAAGTTAAAAAAATCAGTTCGACCAAATGTGACACAAATAGTGAAGTAAATCTGATCTAAAGAGCCAGACTGATGCGTATCCTCTGTTGGCTTCCTCAAGCAGTTCAGGGATACCGGACTTAGATCTAAAAACCAGAGTGAAAATAACCAGGCTTGATTCTCAACAATAGATGAACCGTAATTTGGGCACACTTCCTTTTCGAAGACATTCCTCGCATCCTCGATTAGTTTACTCTGTAACTAGCGTTTGAAGCAGTGAACATGCTGCTTACTCCTAACATATACTTTTGTAATGGTTTGGCCTTATCTTGGGTGTTGCCTCTCTGTGTATCTGACTGATCAAACTCTAAATTAGGATTTCTCTTTCGAATTGACCGACAAATCTGTCTGTGAATCACAATGGTTCATGATGTATTTTTATATTTTCACATATGTCTGAATCCAGACTGTGCTAAACAAATCATGGTACAATAATCTTTATGAAAAAGAAAGACGTTCCATGATTTGCCAGGTTGTCCAGGACAAAGCAAATGAATTTTCTTGGAGAGTTCACAACCGGAGCCTTCGGCTAGCTAAAGCCTGACCTGCAAGGCATCAAGGCGGTGTAAGGAAACCGCAGTCCATTGGGGGCCGGTGTCCAGTTAATCGGATTGTACGCCCTTCGGACGGGGTCAAACGTCCAACGTGCCGAACGCACCTCGATACCCAATCGAACCGGGAAGGTGTGAGTGTGCTTCGTACGCCTCCTCTTGGTTGGTTTGAAATAAGGGTTTTTGGTCAGCTCCCCTAGGCGAACTATCAGTGGTCTACCAACCGGTTATAGATCCGTATATCGACTTTTTGTGCTCTCACTTTGGTGGAAAACACCTCCATTACGAGAAAACAATGAGTAGAGCTTCCTCAGCAGAGGCTATTTGAGATGCTTGGTTGTATGGGAACATTTCGCCAAGTGCAAGAGAAGGATGACCAGCCACAACCCTAGACATCCACCCCCGACCATGCTGAGGCTTTTGAATGCACAAGGGTCCATTTCAGGCAATAGTACTTCCAGTTGTTGTTCAACCAATCACGCATCGGATGGTTCAGTTTATCTGATGTGTGGTATTCGTTTCTCGCCTGTTTGAGCTTCACTTGTAATAGTCCTATGGTTAATGAACTGGTTTCCAACCCGTTTGCGATCCTTTTGAAATTTTTTTTCCTTTGGGGATACAGTCTTGATTGAGACACATGTGAAATATTGCATCTCTCTGTGATGCATCTGCCCAATCAGGAAATAACGGTAACATATTCTCACATTAGTAATACGAGTGCTTCAGTATGCTCCGAAGCTGTAATCATTGCAACATTTGCACCATCAGGGACTGTTGTCCTGTACATATTCAAACAGATTTACACGATCTCATTCCATCTTGTCGAGATTTTGGCCTTTCGCATTCTGAATGAAAAGAGCTCCGAACTGAGTTTCGAAGGTGAACGATAAACGGCCGAAAATTGAACGCACGCGTATGTAAACTGAATTAACATGAAGTTTAAGAACTTTTTATGCACGTGTTTCATGTGATTAATAACAAACGGGATAGACCCCATGGTCTCGAATACCTGCTATTCGGTAGTAGAAATCGGTAACCTAAGCCCCGGGACTTGGAGTGGCGAACCGCATAGGGCCCCGCTAGGTTAGGTGTGGCACTGAACCGGACAACACCAATTTTGGATGGGGGTGGCGGGCTCGAACTTCAGACTATATGCTCTAAAGCTCATCGGCCAGGTTGACTAAACCACTGCGCCACTAGCACGAGCAACATATATATTGCATTTGTAACATCCTTCAGAATAACTTGATGTTGATAATCAAGTGGTCCGTTTTCCGGTTCTGGTTCTGCTGCTGTACAATGTGTCATTGTTTCTTAATATGTATTATTTCTGAACATCGTTCTGTTTGTCCACCCTACTCCCAATGGATCTGTCGAGCTGTGGCCAAACTTTACGCCTATTGGATTGTGGTCAACTATCGCGAATCGTACGGGATGTTCGCATGTAATGGAATTCTGTTCAACCACGAGAGTCCCCGACGTGGTGAGACATTTGTCACTCGGAAAATCACGCGTGCCGTGGTACGGATCAAGAAAGGATTGCAAGTGAGCAAATCTATGAAGCACAACACCATCTTTGGTACATTTCCCCTCATATTCCCGATCATCGGTTGTTTATGTTGATTGGTTTATACCAGCGAATGGGAGTATTTAAAAGTCGAAGTGGTTCACTGATTAAGTTCACGTAATGAACAATCTCGCGCTACTCTCCATCGGCACATAGCTCTCGTCCGAACTTGAGCCGAACCGTCCAGCTGTCATCACTGCCGTTTACGTGGGCTGAACAGCAGTCCTGTTGATACGCACCGGACGGAATGAGGGCACAGGTGGGTAGAACATTGTTTTCTTCGGTTGAGTGTAAAAAAAACAGTGCACTTTTTCTTGTCTCTCACACTTTCGATAATTGGAAATCTCTAACCTAGAACCTCGAATAGGATAAATCGCGCCCAGAACTGGAGGTAATATTTAGGATGTACTACCTATGAGAGGGCTTGTGATGAAGTTGTCTTTGTTTGGTCAGTTTGTCTCATACAATTGAACTTGTATAGCTACTCCTTCGACCCCTAATATTTTCTCCGACAATACCAACGGTGCGTCGCATCATGTATGATGTGAACCCGTCGGTTGAAGTTTATGACGATTAGTCCAACTATTTCACTTATTATTGTTGTTTTCAAAACGCCACATCCCCGAAATTTGAGTTGCCTAAATCTCATTTGAAATGCATTTCCCAAGTTTTCAAGACGACAAATAAACTCTTCATAACCCACTTCACGGGATTTAATAACAACGAGAAGCAGTTTATGCAGAAATGATTTGTTTTGTCGGAGCGTTTTCAGCTTAAGAAAGAAATCTCGCATTGATGTGTACTGAAATTTTCGAATTAGTCCCACAGAGCACATTTCAAATCAAACAACAGGTTGACGAACAAGCTCGTTTTCATAGACTTATATTCATATCAATACATCATATTTAGAAACCAAATATTCTTGGGAAAATAAAATAAAATCACAAATAAATAAAAGCGATTTAATTCTGAGACCGGAAATTGGATTCACCACGATCACTTATTTGTTTGTCCACCCATCCGATCATTGAGATTACACGTGATACGGTGAGTATGGGAGATGGATGAGCCAGGAAAACCTTAGCCCTTGCACAACATGTTTTCGTGCACCGTGCCACAAGTAATCTCAATGAGCGGTTGAGTGGACACAGAACTATGTGATCGTGGTGAATCCGATTTCCGGTCTGAGGATTGAATCGTTTCTATTTATCTGTGCTGTGATGTGATTTGATTTGATTTTCCCAAGACAATTTTATTCCCAATTAGTGATGCATATTGGCATAAATACAAATATATGAAAACGAGCTTGTTCGCCACTCAGTTATTTTGTTTGACATACACTAAAATATTCATGCATTCTGTGGATCTCAAGCAACAAGAATCACGGTATTCTCCGCCTCCGGAGCAACATCGGACACGATAGTCATATCTGCTTTTTTATTACACACTTTCTTAGTGTGATGAACAGCAGACNAGACGGAGTAAACCCTATAGTCGCAACGACCTGCTGTTCCTGGATGGAAACCGATAACCTGAGCCCCGGCACTTGGAGTGTCGAACCACTTAAGTCCCTGCTAGGTTAGACGTGGTATGGAACCGGACAACAGCATCACTGCCTACTACCAAAGTCGGGTGACGGTGGCGGTGCTCGAACCCCGGACCATGGGGTCCAAAGCACACCGGTAGCAACGACTAAACCACCGCGCCAAAACCACGGTATTGATTTCGCTTTCGGATGAAAACTGGACTGTTTCGTACAAATCCCATTGATATAATCAATCGGTTGCGAATTTTGTACACAAGGGCTATGGTGAAGTTATTTTGTTTCTCAAATCGTTTGTACCAAAAGCGTTCTGTCGTACGTTGGTGATAACGTAGTACATAAATTATGGAAATTGGGTTACTATCACCACCGATACCTTTCTATTCCGGTGAGCTTTTATCTTTTTCTGTTCCAATCGTACTCTTAGACGTTTACGAAAGAAAATTGTCAGTCGCCGTTACGAAGTGCATTGAATAGATTGCCAGTTAGACCGTGAAAAAGAGAGTTCCGTGCGGGTATATGACGACGCACCTGGAAAGCGCAATGCAGCTCGATTTGATTAAATGAAATCCAGAAGTTGGAAAAAAGGTGAATGAGGGAGTCAAAATAAATCGCTGACGGCGGTGTTCTCCTGTTCAATACAGGCGTTCTAAGACATAATTTGGTCACATTCACTGTGCGCAGAACACTTCTTTCTGTTACACAACCGAATGTTTGCTACGAACTACAAATGGCGATTTCGTTTCAGATTTCTGAGACGAGTCGGAAATTCCATCCAGAAGAACGCCAATGTTCAAATCCAAAATTTCGTGTAAGCCTACGCAACTGCCATGTGATGTTTTATATTTCGTTAGCTCCCGTTACACCGTTTCAAACGTAGTTGGTTCGATAGAGAGATTTCATTCCGTTCCGGATATATTATGGTCTCTTTCGATTGTTTGGTAATTCGACGCTTCACGAGCGCGCGCAAACACGAACGCCATCTTGTTTACCAGGTCAAACTGGCTTCCGAATCACACCATGCTTTAAATCTCCGCTGTGGTACGCTGTATAAATTAACTGTTTATTTTGCAGCCAACAGCCTGTAGGGGTCACAATGAAAACAGAAGGCTGCATGTTTGTAGACGATTCCGACGAAGTCATCCGTGAAACATCAGCCAAATCGTACCAAGACTCTGTCTGAACATTTCACAGGAATTATAACGAGGTGTGCGAGGCATTTGGACCGTCGGCTGCTTGTGAATACCATGCCAACGTAATATTTTATCGTATAAATAGACAATGAAAAACAGTGTGATGAACTGCCCGGTTGCCGAGTGGGTAGCATGCTGGCCTACTTAGCCTAGCGTTTGAGCGACCAACTCCTACGGGAGGATAAGTTGGCTTCTTGGATGTCTCTAATGATGGTGACCCATGCGGGACGATCCGCAGCAAGGTTTGTGCAGTGAAAACCAGTTCTGGTTTCAGTTACGAATTCTGTATACGGATTGGAGGCCCGGTAATCCCAAATCCGCCTCGATTGTACTGCTCCAGGTCTTCAATTAACCACCGAGTTGACAACATCATCCACTGCACGATACAGAGGCTACAGCCTGCACGAGAGTTGAGTGTCGAGCCTTTAAAGCACGTAGCCAAATCACTAAAGGTGCCGGTGTTGTGGCATTTTCGAAAGCTTTTCGATGTTTGTGCAGTGCCGTCGAACCTCATCATTGGGCGGTGGTGGCCAAAAGGGTAGGTCACCAAATTGTTACCCGGGAGTCCCGGATTCGAACCGCTCCATCACCGCCCATCTTCCCTATCTGTGTATTTCCCCAGGCAGCCTTTGTATGGCCGCAGCCTCCTTCCTGAAAGTTGACTGTACGTTTGTATATTCAGTAAATAAAAAAAAGGAAGTAAAAAGACGAACGACAAAAATGTTGAATTCCTTTACCGACACTGCAGTTTAGATGTTATGATTTCTGGGGGAAATTCATTTGTGGTGAGTATTGCATGTGTTATGTTCTCAAGTAACAGAGCAGCCGTAGTCCGGCGTTCGCAGGTTCCGTGAACACTTGAGCGTACTGAATTTTTAAGATTGCAGCTGCCTCCTTTGTTGTGACCGAGACACGTCCTGCCAATCTTAGCGCTGGAACGACAGATTTGATTTTTCCGGAGGCATTTATGGGTTTGTACAGCAGCTTCGGATTGGATATGAACTTACGCATAATCACTTCCTGGTACATCAACTCGTCTCCTCACGCCAACTTGGTGCAGTGGTTTAGAAGTGGACAGTAGGTATACCCTGTGTTGTTACAAGGAAACCGTTTATAAGCTGTCGACCAAACAGTCCTCTACGAACTCCACTTCATTATTCGATTTCGAATCACTGATTTTTCGCCAGCTGAGTAGGTAATGTGTTTGGTTTTGTTCACGCCCTTCACCATTTCCATGATGCGATTCATAAATTCTTGCCAGGATACCAAGGGATTACACTGTTCGTTGGGAAATCTCTCGCCAAAATGGTGTAGTCAGAAAACATACAAGAGTTGCCCGTAGAAATATGCGGTACGGTTTCATAGCAACTGTAGCCAAATTTCAACACAGCATGACCACTACGTCCTAATGGAGTTGCAGTGGAAATCGTTTCCACCATCAATTCCTCGATAGATACCACCAAGTGTGACTGCTGTGGTAACAGTGACAGCACAAATATATCCGTAGAATGCTTGCAATTGACTTTAGAAAGCTCAATCAGGACTTGTTGGAAAGATTATGGAATTTCCTTTCGAGCCATATCACAATATTGACACAGAGTCTTACCTAACTGCCCCTTCGCTAATTCTCTGATGAACGTTTTTAACGTGAACCATTGTGCATCGACAGTTGGATCATCGAGATAAGTGACGACTATGTTGGAGGCGGTTGTGTTTAGCAGCACTTGCGTTTTTTCAGGTCGTTCCAAGAGCGACGTTGAATTTGTCCTTTAGACGAGTATTCCGGCGAGCAGTCAGCATCTTGAAGCGGGTGCGTGCAAAGGCATGGTCCGTGTCGTTCCTATTTCCAGTTTCTGCACCGCGATAGGAACGGCAGTCTTCCACTGAAGAAATCCAGTGAGCACGTAACAAAACATCATAAATCTGGTGCGCTGTTCGACCATCATTTGAGTCCCACGTAAGGTGTTTTCTGGTGTGCTGAAAACGAGTGTTGGCCACGACTAGCCGGTTGGGGTCAGCAAATGTGACTAGGCGTTCTCCATTTTTGGAACGTTGACCAAGGCCGAACTTTCTCAGAACATGCCGAGTATGTTCATCTGATGGACCATTGCGTGCATTCCAGTCTCCTGCGATAACGAGGATGTCGCTCCTCGGACTGCGATTCACTGCATCTTGAACTTGGTTGTAGAAGTCGTCTTTGATGGGCTCTTCCGCATGTAACGTCGGAGCATATACAATGATGACATTTAGGTTAAACGGCTTATCTCTGTAGCGCGCTATGGCAATCCTGGGAGAGATTGGTTTCCAGGAGGTCATAGCA